AGACGTAGGAGCACCCTGCAAAAGCGTTGTACCACGAGTTGAAATCCAACAAAACCCCTTCAACCTAAACTGCCCTAAACCCTAAACCCCTAAACCCCTAAGCCCTAAACCCCTAAACCCCCAGACCCCTGAACCCTAAAACCCTAAACCCCTAAACCCCTAAACCCCTAAACCCTAAACCCCTAAACCCCTAAACCCCTAAACCCCCAAACCGCTAGACCCCTAAAGCCCTAAACCCTAACCCCTAGAGCCTACACCCCAATCTTTCGACCAAGGAGCCCCACCCTTTGCAATGCGGGCTACTACATGGCCTACACCGTCAACCATGACTCCACAAGGCGGGTTTAGGGTTCAGGGGTTTAGCGGTTTAGGGTTTTAGGGTTAGGGGTTCAGGGTTTAAAGGCTAAAGGTTTAGAGCTTAGGGTTTTTACACGAGGGTATGGAGATTACCGGGGTTTTTATAAAGTTTCTTTAAGGGTTTTCATTGGGGGTTTGCCTCGCCAGGCCACCGGACACAGCAACGTGGTTCATGGACTGCCGAGGGGCTGGCTGGCAAGAGCATCATGCCCGAACCGGACGAGTCGGAGTTCTTATGCAGTGGATTGCCAAACCCTAAAAAACCCTAAACCCTAAACCCTGAACCCTGAACCCTGTAAACCCAAGCCCTAGTCCCTGACGCTCAAGCTTGAATTCAGATCCTGGTCGTAGAACTTGTGCCTGCCCTGTGGTCAGCTGAGGATGACGAAGCTCGGCCCAACGTAGTGATCTTCGTGTGGTCTTCTACACGTAGGCTTGTTTTGATCTCCTGCATGTCAGGGTGAAGTTGAGCCCGCTTGTGGAGGCTTCTCGGCCAAAGCTGCTTCTTTTTGACGGTCGCGACTGTGCTCTCGTCTGGGAGAAATTCTTGAGCACTCAGGAGAAGGTTCCTGGCAATGTTTGGAGTCGAGTCAACTCCAGCTTGCAGATCACCACCAGCCTTTGCACGGAACGGAACGCTCTCGTGAACACTGCAGCTTGTCCGAGATGTTTTGGTGCAGCATGTAAGTTGCTCTGCTCTGCACATGCAAGGTCGTGCCTTCGCAACCCAATATTTGCAACCCTAAACCCTAAGCCCTAAACCCTAAACCCCTAAAGCCCTAGAAGTGGGCCTGAAAAGGTCTTTGACCTGCAGGGCGAGACAGACAGTGGAGCTCCTCTGTACAGGCCCAGAGAGCGATTGCTTTCATGTTTGCACCCGGTTTCTGCTCCCCAGAGAGCCCAACTACCCCCTTAATTAAGGAATAGACCCTCAATTATAGGGCCTTAATAGAACCCAATACCTCCTTAATTAAGGAAAAAACCTTAAATCATAATATTCAGGCCCCCTTATAATTTTAAGGCTCTTTATTCCCTTAATTAAAGGGGGGTGTTGGGCTCTCTGGGTCTGCCCTGCTCGCTGTTTCGGCAGGGCCTCCGACGGCAGCTACTTGTACCACGGAGCCTCGGCCTGGCAAAAAGGGGGGTTTAGGAGTAGGGGTTTAGGGGTTTAGGGTTTAGGGTTTAGGAATAGGGGCTTAGGGGTTTAGGGCTTAGGGTTTTGGGGTCGGGATTCGGGAGGATTTTCATGGGTCCTGCAGGTTTAGGGGTATAGGGGATTAGGGGTTTAGGGGTTTAGGGTGTAGGGTTTAGGGTTTAGGGTTTAAGAGGCAGCAGAAGGAGTCTAGAGATGTCTGGAGTCCACTTGGAGGTTCATGGGTAGTTATAAGAGTTATTATAAGTCCTTTAATATAGGGCTTATAGGGTTTATAGGGTATATAGGGTTTGTAGGGTTTAGGGTTTATAAGTGGGGTTATAAGTCCTCTATGGGTTATAACTACAGTTACCCTACTTATACGCCTACTTATAGCTACCCATGAACCTCCAAGCAGAGAATCTGGAGATCAGTCAACTCCCACGGATGACATGGACACCGGGGTACTTTAAACACCGTGTCCTGAGGACCTCACTGTGGTCTTGGCCAAAGCGGAAAGAAGTGGATCATTAGCCCAGCCTTATGTACACAAGGCCGAGCTGCTGTCACCATGAGGCACTCGTTTGTGATCATCTTGGCCAGGCTTTGTTTAAGAAGAGCATGTCGATTCGAGCTTTATTTCGCAACAAACTACAGCTCAAGCATGCCAAAACGAAATTTCAGCCAATGTAAGCCGAAGGAAGTGTTTGCGAGTGGTCTGGCTCGCAAGATAGCCCAATTCGTTCGGTTCGCTGCCGGCGAAAAGTCAATGGTTTGCAGTACTTGCCGAGTGTTGCTGCATTGGATGAGCAAGATGCAATACTGCCTGTGCAGGCTTCGACTACGCGTACATCTTGTCAGAGGATGAGTATGGGCCGCCCCTTTCATCCTCTCAGTGGTCCGTGAACTGCGGCAGGCAACGCACTGATGAAGTTTTCACATCGCTCCTGCGGTTTGCAATCCTTCTTTCTCAGGAAAGGCTGGCTAACCATGCCGATCAAGTTCAGTCCCATCACGCTGTCGCTTGGCTGCCTTCCCGTTGACGTTTGGGAAGGGATCCAGTTTGCCAATCAGGTAACCCCTAAACCCTAAACCCTAAACCCTAAGGTACGGCCGCATCAAGACGCCGAAAGGCTTTTGCCTGGAGCCTTGGCACGGAGATCCGTTGCTTCAACCCTGCACGGCAGATGGCTCTCAGCTGCAGCTTGCTTGCACTCTCTGGGAGTACTTGGAGGTTCATGGGTAGTGATAAGTAGGGTACGAAGTCCCCCTAATGTAGGTTATAACTAGAGTTACCCTACTTATAACCCTACTTATAACTACCCATGAACCTCCAAGTAGTAAGATCCCAGGTGCGCGAAGAGACCCGGCTAGTGGAGCTTAGGTGGATCTACAATGCAACCAGCGGACTTCTGAAGGACCGGCATGGCGAATGCTTGGAGGCATGGAGCCCTCATCCCCCCCAAAACCATGCTGCGAGGGTCGAAGAGGAGCATGCAACCAGAACAAGTTTAGGGTTTAGGTTTAGGGTTTAGGGTTTTAGGGTTTAGGGTTTAGGGTTCAGGGTTTAGGGTTCAGGGTTTAGGGTTTAGGGTAAGATAAGCCCTTGCATCTTTTCGCTTGAAGACGACACGAGGCCCCAGTCGTCGGCGCTTTCCCGTCACAGCCAGTCGCTGGGTTCGTGTTCAGGAACCTAAAGCCATAATAGAAGCCACAATGAGGAATTTAAGAATAGCAATACGAGCAGCACTAACAGTCACCAACACTAGCACTAGCAATGACAATCACGACAGCAGTCGAAATGATGATGACCATGACACTTGCAATAACAATAGCAGTAATGACAATTGACAATAGTGATAGTAGTAGTGATCATGTCAAAAATCATTCTTTTTGTCACTCATAACCCTTTGGAAAGCATGACTGTCATTTCCTCGGAGTTTGACTTTAGGGATCTTCATGTGAGATTGAAACAAGGAGAGTGCCCGAGCTCCCCGTTATGGTACTTGAACCTTCGAAAACGTGACGTAAGGCAAGTTCCTAAACCCTAAAACCCTAAACCCTAAACCCTAAAATCCTAAAGCCCTAAAGCCTAAACCCTAAAACCCTAAAACCCCTAAAACCCTTAAAAACCCCAAACAGCAGCTCAGGTCGGAACTCCCGTTCGCACCACCGCCTGCGATCCTGACTCGGCAAGTCAGAAGTGGACGTGCCTTGGCCCATGAAATGGGACTTTCCGAAACTAAGGGGACCCTAATAAAGCAAAAGGGTTTAGGGTTTAGGGTTCTAGGGTTTAGGGTTTACGAAGTGGGACTTTCCGAAAATTAGGGGGTACCTTATTTTGGGGTCCTTCTAACAAGGATCCTGCTATTTAGGGTACTATATTTAGGGTCCCCTATTTTCGGAATCCCCCAAATGGTGTTTAGGGGTTTGGACTGTAACTGTAGCGTGTAGGGTTTAGGGGTCTGGGGTTGAGGGTTTAGGAGTTTGGGGGTTTGGGGGTTGAGCGTTTGCGGCGTGCAAGTTGTCGCGTTGTCTGCCCAGGTACGACAAGGAAACGAAGGAGGCCTGGCTGTGGTGACCCTAAACCCTAAACCCCTAAACCCCAAAACCCAACACGTAAACGTGCTCGGTGCTCGCTGAGAGGTGAAGCTTCGAGCCGGCAACTGCCTGGATGCGGCACAGCCGGACACAGTAGGAGGCCGCGTGCAACTATTTCCCTGCCACGTCGGCAATGACAATCAAGTCTGGGTATTCTCTAAAGATTAGAGCAACGAGCGCTTTGAAGCTCGCCCGATTTGTTTTGGTCATTCGCCATGAGACTCGCTCGGTCCGCGGTTGGTGTGTGAGCTGAAAGTCATGGCTGTCACTGCGTGAAATCCGCGTAACCAGTGATCTGTACAGTACGGTTTCTAAGCTGGCTGGAGCTCGCCAAAAGAGGCGTGAAGCAGGTTTTCGCTCACTATATCCTTTTGAAAGACTGACGCTCGGAAGGACGGACAGTTTTATTTGGGCGAGGTGATTGCTTTCTTTACCCGTGCCAGTGCTGCCAGAAAAAGGGGCGACGACGTTGGCTGTGGCGTAATCTTGCGGCTTGCCGTTGAGTGCGAAGATCTCCATTGAATTCCTCTGTAGCAGGAGAGTCCGTATGGAGATGCGGAGGATGCTGGACAGGCATCGTGGCAGAGGAAGCCATTCCTCACGCCCATATTTTGCCGAGAGGAGTACTGAAATCTGAGTTTTTGTGAACCCGCCTAAACCCTAAACCCTAAACTCTAAACCCCTAAACCCTAAACCCTAAAATGGGTTGATTCTGCCTTGGCCAGTGCCTCTCCATGCACCAGCCCTGGGCTTCCTTGCTGGTCTACGGCTTCAAGCGCGCCGAAGGCCGCTCGCCCTGGCCTCAGTCGGGTCAAAAGGGTAGGGTGCTTTTGAGGTCCCTCTGAGATGGCCGCTTAGGGTTTAGGGTTCTGGGTTTGGGGTTTAGGATTTAGGGGTTTAGGGTTCAGGGTTTAGGGGTTTAGGGGTGTAGGTTTTAGGGTTTAGGGTTCAGGGTTTGGGATTTAGGGCTGAAACATGCTGAGACTGAGGTGGAGCACGGATCATCGAGGCGCATCTCCCAGAGATTGAGAGCCGTGTGCAAGCCCTCTGCAGAAAGGCCGGCTCTGGATCCATGCGACTTCCAAAGCCCCGGATCCAGACGAAGTTGCGGCGTTAGAAGAGAGGCTGGAAAGTGTGGAAGCTCATTTCTCTTGAGACGAGTGGCAGGCAGATGACGAGAAGCCCGATGTTGCCTTGAATTCCAGGTACCGGGACATCTACGAGTCTGCCGGCGTCCCCATTCCGTGGAACACCCAGTCTCCCTAAACCCTAAACCCTAAACCCTAAAGCCCCAAAAGCCTAAACCCTAAAACCCTAAACCCTAAAACCCTAGGCCCTAAACCCTAAACCCTAAAACCCTAAACCCAAACCTAAA